GGCTGTAGTTGTGTGTTCAGAAAAACAGAAACTCAGTCCTGTTCAGTCTGAAGCCAGTTTTGAAGCCTGTTGTGGAATCAGACTGGCTTATTAAAAATCATTCCCCTCATTGCTTGTCCACCACTGGGATTACAGTGTACATCACTATGCCACACTTTTTTGAAATAGGCACTGGGGGACCAAACTCCAGTCTTCATGCTTTCACAAGTACTTTACCAACGAAGCCATCTTCCCATCCCTCTACTTTCATCTTTAGCAAGTGATAAAATTGTATGTATACCCAAAACTTATTTTAAAATAAATTTCTTTGTGATTTATCGCCAGCAAATGTTTGATTGGTATATTTTATTTTATTTTATGTAAAATTAAAATATATAGTTGTTTTAAAGGATCTAGGAGTGGAAAAATTTTTAAGAAGGCCTCATTTAAGCCACTTAGTCCAGGATGTTTCATTATCACAGCCTGAACTGACCAAAACTCCCTTTTCTCTGAAAACAAAGAATGTTCATTTCTAGATTATAATTTCCGATCTAGCAAAGAAATTTTCAGCTTTGATTGCCTGTAAGATTTAAAGTAGGAGTGTTGTTCGTCGAAAAAAAATCATCCCAAGATTAACTTCTTCAGGACTATGGCTTATGGATGTTGTCTAAATCTCAGACACTTCTCTGCTTTTCTTTTAAACCTCCTTCACTACAACTCGCACCAAAAAGCTTTCTCATCCTTCAACAACCACCATCTTCAGAGATGTGAGAGGAAGACCCCAACCTGTATTCAAGATCTAAAGGAAGTACTCAGGTGAACTGAAGCAGAAGAAATTGACAGTTTGAGGTCAGAAACAAGTCAGAGGCCAGCCTGGGTTACATAGTGAGAATCTACCTCAAAGAAGAGGAAGAGGAAGAAGAAGAAGAAGAAGAAGAAGAAGAAGAAGAAGAAGAAGAAGAAGGCGGCGAGGAGGAGGAAAATTACGAGTGAAATGCTTGCCCTAGCAGAAAAAGAAATGCCATGCTCATTTCAATCCATGCTGGTGCTGCAGAATAACAGCCCAGTAGCAGGGAGCCACGCCTACTTGTGAAGGGGCCAGCAATTTGGTGAAACAGAGTGGGAGGCGAGAGGGCCAACTGGAGACTAAGCACACAAGGCCTTCTGCTAACCAGCTGTTAAAACTGGGACTGTTTTGCAAAGTGGAGAGTTTATTGAACACATGCCTTCCATGTGCTTAGCACTGAAACTCCCTAGGTAGGCTGGAAGGGACTGGGGCCCGCATCTCCTTAAAGGCGCAGTTTTCTGTTATGTTAGTGGATCTGTACACCACACCCATTAAGTCATTATCAACTTTGGGGTGTTTTGAAAATCTCATTATCATCCTGTCCAAGCTGCTAAACTTATACAGCCACAAAAGTCACATTCGTGGGTCTGAGCGTGTTTTCATATCAGTCCTGGCAGAAGGTGTTCTTGGTGTCATCTATTTAGAGAAGACACAGAGATCTGGTCAGTGGGCTCAGTAATGGCCACCTATTAAATATTATCACAATACGTTTTGATTGTACTTGGTATAACACTAATCCTGGGCCTTTTATGGTACTTTCTCTTGAGACTCTCAAGCCAAATTTTTCTTTCATAGGAAAATCCTGTTTTACTATTGACAAAAATATCCTCCTTTGTCCTTCCAGCACCCGTGGCCGACTTGTCACTGGATAATGGACCTTCAAGCTTATATCATCATGTACATTTTCTCCCAGGAAATCTTCCTCTTTCTTCATAATCATGACCTGTCTTGTGTGTAAGGCCCTCCCTCTGGAATTCATCGCAAGTGTCCTCTCACCAACAAGCATGGAAGTTACAGTGATGACAGAGCAAAGCAGGGGACTGTCCTCCCACTATGACTGGCAGCTTCTGGCTTCTCCTGCCCTCATTCTCACTTCCAGCCCACCCCCCTCAGAAACAATGATGGCCTCTATATCTGGCCTCCTCAACCCTAGGCTAAAGAAACAAATATTAAATGGCACTGAGGTTTTGAGTATAAATCTAAAGGAGCTCTCGAAAGGAGCTTTTGCCTTTAGAGCCTGAGAGGAACAAATGAAAAGACAAATTGTAGGTCTGTGGTTGTCACAGTAGGGACTCCTATCATTCCATCAGCTTTCATGTTCACAATGTACAAACTGCCTAAAAGACCAGGGTAATTGAAAGGCAGGCATAAACCTCTCTGGTTTCTCAGTATTAACCGAAATTGCCTCCTACTGAAGTTGATTTCTGGCTTAGAATCCTGAAAGCAATACAGGCCACTCTGTTTCCAATGCTGGTATCAAATACCTTTAACCATTGTGAAGAAAAGCCTCTGAGGACTGGTGGGTAACAGGGCTAACTTAGTGGCACAGTTCTTCTAATTCTGTTCTTAAACGGTTCTCTCTCCAACCAAAGAGCATGCACAGGCTGGACCTAGAACCCCTACGCATACATACATAGCAGACGTGCAGCTTTTCTTCAAGTGGGTCCCCTAGCAAGGGGAGAAGGGGCTGTCTCTGACTCTGTTGCCTGACTTTGGATCCCTTTCACATAGCTGGGCTGCCTTGTCAGGCCTCATTGGGAGAGGATGCACATAGACCTGCTGCAACTTGATGTTTCAGGGTAGGGGTATCCATGGGGACCTCCTCTTCTTTGAATAGAAGTGGATGGTGAAATGGGGGAGTGGAATGTGAGGGTAGGGCTAGGAGGAGAGGAGAAGGGGGCTGTAATCAGGCTGTGAGTAAATAAAATAATGAAAAAATGGTTCTCTCTCTTTTTCTCTCCTCCCTCTCTCTCATTCCCTCCCTTCCTTACTTCCTCTTTCCTACTTTGCCCTCCTCTCTCTCCTTCTTTTACTCCCCATCTTTTTTCTTGTTTATTTACTCCTGTTCCAGAGAGAATAAATGGTGAATATGCCTGAAACACCCACTTCATCATTCATCAGAGGTTTGCAGTGTTTTACCTGACCTTCAACTTTATCCTGCCAGCTGGTATCTATGACCCTGCCCTCAAAAATAATATAAATTGGGTGTTACAGGTTGGCTATTTCCACGAAGTGGTGCTATTGATAATTAGAGCCTGGTAGGAGTTCCATCAAAGAGATGTCTTCAAAGAAAAAAATGTCAGACTGGTTTCTTCCTCTTTTCTATTCATGCCTTGGCTCCTGGGGTAAATGGTTTTGGTCTCCCTCATGTTCCTGCAGTAATGTGATGCCTTCACCTTAAGTCCATCAATTTGGGATTAGAGCCTCCACGACCTTAATAAACTTTTTTTCCTAATAAATTGATTGTCTCAAGTACTTTGTTATTATGATGGGAAGATAACTAGCATAGAAGGTTGATGTATGTGAGTATAAAAATATTGGGTTGAAATAGGAAAAATATGATAAGCAGTAGGATCCGAATAACTAAACCTGGTGGGAAAGTGCAATGATTTCTGTGTGGACACATCTAAGGCCATTTCAGGGAATGCTGGGTAGAGCCAGGGAATGCTGGGTGAAGCAAGTGTCCAGTGCCTACATCTCTTGAGCATGTTCTCCATGACTTCATAAGTTCATACTTTATATGGAACTGAGATCAGCCATCAGCCGCCCAGCTGAGAAGAGAGTCCCTAATCAAGTTCTCTGGGTAGCTAACAAACCAGAGCTGTAGGATCATTCATCAGACATTCTCACATACCATCTTACACCCACACCATACCCCACGTGACTATTTACGCTCTTCCCTCAGGTTCGATGAAATGACAAGAATCCTGGACAAATGTGGGATGGAGAGGTTACACTCAGAGCAGTTTAGATGGGGCTGGGAAAACCCAGGATACTGATGAGCAGCATTTGTGTTGATCAGTTAACAGGAGCTGTGTGGGGTCACAGGAATGGGGTTCCCAGCATTGTCCAGATATCTTCCAAGGCTGCCTCTGTCAGTAACTTACAGAGCCTATGTAAACGATGTCTGAAGATTTGTTTCCCACAGGGCACCCTGAAAGCAATGAGAGTAAAGTGCCCATCTTGTCCTCCCCCCAGATCCAAAAAACCTTGATTTCAGCCTTGTAGGCAGTCCCCTGCCCTCCATCAGGTAATCCTCCCTTGCTCTGAGACAGGAAAAGAAGGCAGGGAGGCTGGAAGGATTTATTCCCTTTGCCTTCTGTTTACTTATGACACAGACAATTTTTTCTCACCTTCCTCAGAGACTTCTGCTTACTGAGCTTATTTTTAAATTCTCAAAACATCTTCAATGAGCCATTGTCAAAAATAACTTTCTTCTTGAAGACATGTTACAACAGTTCTGATTTTTTTGTGGGTAATGGTGACTGTCCCTGTCTGACTTTAGCAAAGGTCAATAGGCATTAAAATGTTCTAAGCATTGGGGAGGGGGTTTCATGACACAGAATAGAGTTCCCTCCTCCCTCTTCCCCCTCCCCCTCCTCCCTCCTCCCTCCTTCTTCCTTCCTCCTTCACAGTGATTCACCAGTCCTTCATGGCTGCTCCACTAGTGCTGTCGAAACTTCCTTCTCAAATACCCTAGCTGTTAAATGTGCTCATCCAAAATTTTTTCACCAAAAGAGTTTGCAATTTCAGATATTTTTGGTTTTTAGAATATGTGCATATATATAGTGAGATATTTAGGAGAAGAGACAGAATTCATTTATATTTCACCTAACCTGGAAGTCATTTTATAGGACATTTTTAGTGCTTTGATTATGACCTGTTATGGGACCACAGGTAGAATTTTACACTCATGGAAATTTCCCATTGTGTCATCAACAGGTTTCAAATTTTAGAAGCATTTGAGAATTTGGATTTTCAAATTAGAAGTGTTCATAAGTGGTGGAAATTTACATCTGGGCTAGACAGGTAAATAAGGGAAAGATTGGAGGATGTTGAGATCAGTTCTCCTACATGATTCCTTATCTAGTTCTTCTGATAGGGGTCTACAGCCAACCTTGGAATTTTTTGAAGCCTATCCTAAGCTCAAGAAAGACATCAAATCCATAGAATCTTCATGTTCAGTGCAGTTTATGTTTATTAAACATATCAATATGTTTAAGTGTGATGGTTTTCAATAAGTGAGACCCACCTCCGCGTAAGTTCCATACATTACATTTGCATCAACCCTCGAGGAAAATTCTCATATAAAAAGCTAAACCTAGATCAGTCACAGCAAACACTACACACTTCAAAGAAATCTAAATAGCAGGATCTTGAATGTGTTTTCTACTCCTTAGCAACTTCAGGTTTTTTTGAAATGTATCTATCAGTATATATATATATACATGTGTGTGTGTGTGTGTGTGTGTGTGTATACATAGTCTAAACTCTGCTTAAGCCCGAATATTTCATCTTCCACAGCTGGATTCTTTGTTGTTGTTGTCTTAGATGGAAAATGAATAAGCAATAAACCTAATGCTAATGTTTTAAATTGTGTGTTTTTTGATAAATCCAGGGACAAATCTCGCTAGGGAAGATTATTCTCAAATATGAATTACTCAGTAGCTCTAGCATAAACTGGCACTTCTTTCCAAAGCAGAGTCATTTCACAGTTTGTATTTGATGAATACTGAGGAAAACCTCCCAAGAGACTGAATCATATTTGTTCTCAGACAAGAAGGCAGACGGAGCCCTGTGACCATAGCATGATGAATTCTGCTCTGACATTTAAGTCGCTCGATCTTCTGACAAAAATAAGGATCCCACGTGTGAGGTTGGCTTAGTAGGCTGAAGCGTGACATTACCACTCAGGATGGAAATCATTGCATCTGTCCGTTTCTTCCAATGTGTGTACACGCATGTGTGTGCGTGTGTGTGTGTGTGTGTGTGTGTGTGTGTGTGTGTGTGTGTGTTTGATTTCACTGAGGAAAGTCAACCTCCCTGAAAATCATGTTCTTTCCGTTTTCCTAATCAATTCAGGGAAGGTACACTGATCCATGGAGTACATCATTCATTCTTAGGGATGAATGTCTCTAGTCACCATCCTGTAATTTTACAGACAAAAAAAAAAAAAAAAAAAGCAAAGCCCAACACAATTTTCCAAAAACTCATAAATAGCTCATGCCCATGGTTTGTGAGTGTTCTTTATACCATCACTTGTAAAGAGAGAAAATCTGGACTGGGGTTTGGGGGAAAAAAACGGTTTGTTTGCACAGGTGGCTAAACAACAGAAGAGAAAAAGTAAATACTGGAAAGAAAGAGAGGAAAGGGCCAGTTACAGACGTTTTAACTCTGTATCCATTGCCCACCAGATTTTGATGAAGAGGACCAAGGCCCTTGGGCCCTACTGGGCTTCTTCAGCACAAGGCTTTATGGCTGTGATGGAGATGCTATGCCCTCTGCATCTTAAGATGCCAGCCTCACACTCAGACATCGTCTCTTCCTTGCCGTTCACTTCCACACAGATGCTGTACCCTTGTTCCTGGCACTCCGACGCTTCTCTGCAGACACATTTGCTGTTCTCAGCTGGAAAGAACAGGTTGGGGGAGACTTAATGGCACACTGTGGAGGTGGGAGAGTCAAAATGCACTACCTCCAAAGTAATGGCATGGTGATCAGAGAGTTCCTGCCCTGAGCAATACAATAAACTATCTGCTGGAAGAGACCTAAGACCAGGAAATGGGGCCATTTTGTTTCACTCAGAGTAAATGGGCTTTGAATTGGTGGCAGGCTTTCTGCTGGCTGGACACACATGAGGCAGATCTATCCAAGTCATAGGGGCTGTCATCTTTGTGAGCCAGAAATCAAGTATAATTCTTTGTTCCCCAGGCCAAATGAGAAGGTTTCAGCAGAGAGTGGAGAGGCAAAGCTCAGAGGCACAGAAAGAAAAGAATTAAAAGATTAATTCTTTTCTTTAATTAATTAAATTGAATGCCATACATTCTCTTTAAAAGAGAATGTATGGCATTCAGAAGATGCTTGTCCTATGAAAACTAATCAGAAACAAGGAGAAATGGCCTGGTGGAAACACATCCCTCCAGGGGGCCAGTAATGAGGTCAACCAGGGAACAGTAACACAGAAATGAGCCAGATGGGACTGGAGTTACGTGTCTTCATCAGACTGCAACCCCGGGACAGAAGCTTGGTTCCGGCATCCCAGCCTTTCCCATTCACCATATTTCCAAAACATGGGTGGTGCTCAACATCATTGCTTACTTCTGTTCAGACATGTCCTAGCTAATACTGGGGCCAAGAAAGTAACACCTTTCTCTATATTCTCTTCTGATTATTTCAAGAACTGTCAGCTGAACTCCCTTATAGCAAGGAGAGGTTTCCTTAATCTCAAATAGTACCTGGCTCAAATCTTCAACTTTACTTTGTTCTGTTAGTGGGGGGGGGGGTGCATGCTTCGACACCATGATGTACATGTGAACGTCACAGAAAAACTCTAGGGAAGTCAATGCTCTCCTTCCAGGATGTGGACTCCAAGGACAGAACTCAGGATGTCAGGCTTGGCCACAAGCACCTTTACCCACTGAGCCATCTCATCAGCCCAATGATACTTCTTTTAAGTGTGTAATATAAAGATTTGAAGTTTAGAAAGTATTTTTATGTAAACCCTCTTTTTTCCTTAGATTTTTTTAATCTTTATTTTATGTGCATGGGTGTTTTGCCTGTATTCATGCCTGCATACCAGGAAGGTAGACTAAGAATTAGTGAGGCTTGGAAGAACATTTAGATGTTTTATTTTGTGGTTTGTTTTGATTGTCCTTTTATGTACCTCATCCAAACCCCTCTCGAGGAGGGAACTTAAGGGGCAGTTTACTGTCAAACCAATCTGATATATTTGACATCTCAAAGTATCTGCTGATAAACTAGAAACTACATTGTTTAAAACTCTTGGCACCATTGCTTTAGCCTTCTTACAGTTAGAAATATGGACGGCTCCTTACCATCGCACTTGCTCCACGGTGGACACGCACCGCAGGCTCTCTCGGCTGAGGCAGGGGGAGTACAGCTGTCCTTGCCAGCGAGACCATAAGTTCTTCCTTGACAGCGGAGAACATGCATCTTGCAGATGGTCAGGGACAGTACCCTTTTGCTTCTCTCATCTCGAGCACATACATCCAAGGATGGTCTGAAAAGAGTATTTTAATTAGGTTTTTTTACAAGATCTGTTATCTTCAAAGCCGAGGAAGACAAGCAGAAGTAAGACTTTGGGCTCACAATCCTGCATGTAGTCAATCCCACAGCAACCACAAAAACTGTGTTTGTGCTTTCCGTGCTTATAGTTTTTATAGTTTTTATGGTTGATTTTCCTCTCGGACAGACCAGATGCTGCACACAGGACGAGAAGGTCAGGTCTGCCAGCAACTTCCAATGGACTGACATCAAGGGAACAGAAGAGCAGCAAACACCTCCAAGAGATGGCGTGAAACCACTGAGCCCCCAACTCAACAACCCTTGCGTCTGTAATTCGGCATTGTTCACTAAAATCCTCAAGAAAACAAGTGAAGATGAAAGTTTCACATTGCTATTTTTAAGGTTTATTTTTACTATTTTAATTGTGTACGTGCGTGCGTGCGTGCGTGCGTGTGTGTGTGTGTGTGTGTGTGTGTGTGTTGTTTTGTACACATGAGGGCAGGTGCCTGCAGAGAGCAGAGGAGTGAGATCCCTTGGAGCTGGAGTTACAGACAGTTTTGAACTGCCTGATGTGGGTTCTGAGAACTGAACTCAGGTCCTCTGGAAGATCAGCAAGTGCTCCTAGCCACCGAGTCATCTCTTCAATGTTATTTTTTAAAATATCTGTGTAGCCAATGTGATAACTCATTGATTAAAGGCACTGGTCATCAAACCTAATGATGTGGGTTTGATCCCCAGAACCAAAAAGGCGGAAAAAGAGAGCCAGCTGCCCTCTCATTTCCTCACTTGTGCTGTGGCATGATACCCTCTACCCTACCAATAAGAGTGTCTGTGCAGATCCAGCCATACCACTCCTAGGCATATACCCAAAAGAGGCACAAGTACACAAAAAGGACATGTGCTCAACCATGTTTGTAGCAGCTTTATTTGTAATAGCCAGAAGCTGGAAACAACCCAGATGCTCCTCAACTGAAGAATGGATGCAGAAACTGTGGTACATCTATACAATGGAGTATTACTCAGCAATGAAAAATAAGGAAATCATGAAATTTGCAGGTAAATGGTGGGACCTGGAAAGGATCATCCTGAGTGAGTTGTCCCAGAAGCAAAAAGACACTCACAGTATATACTCACTCATATAAACATACAATATAGAATAAACCCACTAAAATCTGTACATCTAAACAAACTAAGCAAAAGAGAGGACCCTAACTAAAATGTTCAATCCCCATCCTGAAAGGCAAAGAGGATGGACATCAGAAGAAAAAGAAAATAGGAAACAACCTCGGAACCTGCTACAGAGGGCCTCTGAAAGCCAGAAGAAAACAGGAAACAACCTTGAAACCTGCCACAGAGGGCCTCTGAAAGCTTCTGCAGTATAGACTGTCAAAGCAGATGCTGAGCCTGATGGCCAACTGATGGGCAGAGTGAATGGAATTCTATGTAAGAAGTGGGAAATAGTAAGAGCTGGAGGGGATGGGAACTCCACAAGGAGAGCAACAGAACAAGATAATTTGAACACAGGGAACTTCCCAGAAAATCATACTCCAACCAAGGACTATTCGTGGAGATGACCTGGAACCCCTGCACAGGTGTAGCCCATGGCAGTTCAGTGTCCAAGTGGGTTACATAGTAATGGGAAGAGGGACTGCCTCTGACATAATCTGATTGGCCTGCTCGTTGATCACTTCCCCCTGAGGGGGGAGCAGCCTTATCAGGCCACAGTAGCGGACAATGCAGCCACTTTTGATGAGAACTGATAGACTAAGATCAGAAAGAAGAGGAGAACCTCCCCTATCAGTGGACTTGGGGAGTGGCATGCATGCAGAAAGGGGAGGGAGGGTGGGATCGGGAGGGGAGGAGGGAGGGGCTTATGGGGGGATACAAAATGAATAAAGTGTAATTAATAAAAAATTAAAAAAATAAAAAAAAGAGTGTCTGTGCCTACAAAGGATTTGGAGATACTTCCATTAAGCATCTTAATGGGTTTTTTTCTTAATCACTATCGCTAAAAGGCTACAATAGAGCTATTTAGAAATATAATTCTAAAAACAAATATTCCCTAAACTGGGCATAGTGGCACACATAATCTCAGAACTTGGGAGATGGAAGCAAGAGGGTGAGATTTTCAATGCCAGTCTTAGCTACACACCAAGTTCAAGGCCAGCCTATACAGACAAGACCTGTCTCAAACTCCCCCATACTCCCTCCAAAAATAATTCCATTTCTGAATGCTGATGGATATGAAAGGTAGAGTTATAGGTAAAAGTCTTGGGTAACAAAGCTTATTTTTATATACTGGTCAGAAATATTTTACATTCTCTCTTTGACCTAGAGCTAAATTTGTCTAGGGTGGCTTATATAACAAAAGAACTTTTTCTTTTTTTAATTTTTTTCTCTGTTTATTTAAAGTTTGAATGGCTCCACTTAGAGTAATTTAAGAAGCAGAAACTTCCTCCCCCTAGAGGCATTGCAGGTATGGCTGCTGTGTCACACGTGTGTCAGAAGGTGGCAGAGAGGAGAGAAGCTACACTCAGTGTTGTGACTTATACACATTTGAATGATTAGTAGCCTAACACTACCTGAAAAAAAGGAACCTTGAGACGACCACCAGTGAGGCATCAGGCAGGCCTGGACGGGCTCCCAGGACAGGGAGTAAGCCAGAGACTAGAACGCCACCTGGGACTCCGGGCTCTGGGTGGGAGTGAATCTGAGACAGACAACACTTGCAGAAGGGCAAGGCTAGGAGCAAGTCTGAAATCACCCTGACAGGGAACTAACCTGAGATAACCAGCAGCCCAGACCACACGGGCCTGGGGGCAGGGGGGTGGGAGAGAGATGGCCATACCATGGCCAAGATGACCCCTGCCTGGTGCCGTAAGGCATGAGAGAGTGTGGCATAGCATTCCTGAGATGTCGCCAGACACTCAGTGAACATTTGCAAGCAAAGAAGTGTTGACAAAGAGTATACTCTGAAACACACTGACACACTACAGCCACAATGAGATTTTTTTTCTCTGTTGGGGAAGGAGGTTTCAAGGGTGGAGAGCAAGTACAAGGAGAGGGGAGATGAGTGGGATTGGGTATATGATGTAAAATTCACAAAGAACCAGTAAAAAGCCTTGGGCATCCAATAGTGTGAAATTATATTAAAAGTCATGTCATGGCTACAAATGACAGAATGAAGATAAACTGGGTTGGAGGGGTTAATGGGGAGTTAAAGAATTTGATTCAAAGAAACAATAGCTATAAGACCTTAACAACAAAGTTGGGACACAAGAATAAGGATGTATCTGGACTGATGACAATTTTCATTTGTATTATTTACTAATTTTCTGTGTACTAAAAGTCATGAGATGTAATCATCATCATCTATTACTAATTCAAGAAGTGGATATGGGTTTTGATGAACATGGCAACTACAAAGTATTCAGTAAATTGCTGTTTTGATTCTTAAAGATGCACCAACTTAAGTCCTTAATCTTAAAAATGAAAATGATCCAGAGGCCAAATGTCTCCTTTGTCCTCCCAAAACCCGTTCCATTCCTCCTCATTTCTTGGAAGTTTGGCATGGAAAGTCCATATCAGAACTTCTTTATCCTTAGCTCTGAGTGGGTTCCACCATAAACGGCACTGGTGAGAAGGTTTCAGGCATGGAAGAAGGTTCAGGGACGTGTTTATAACTCTAGAGTATATCTGTGGTACCTCTCAGGAACCCTAAAGGAGTCTGCTCCTCCTTGGAAGCTATGTCCTCAAAGCTTTCTCTGCCTTCATGTTTCATAAATGTCTTTCTCCCTGCTTCAGGCCTGGGTGCGGATATGTCCACATGCACTATTGCAGGCGCCTTACTCTGCCCACATTTTTGTGGACATGCTGACCAACCTCTCCTATTCCTTACCTAATTCTACTACCTGCATCTTGTCAGGATCCCAACACAAGCTTCCAGGGGTAAAAGCCCTGACCAGAAACAGGTAGCATTCTTAGCCTGCAGATCCAGAAAGGAAGCGTTTAGCGTCAGAAAAGCTCTCTTATCTATTGGTATTGCTTTTAAAAAGTTTCTATCCCCAGGGAATTTGAGCCTAACCCTCTAAAGCTGTAAATCCTCTGGTGACAGTTCTATCATTTCACTTCATTTTTTATATAGAACAAGCAGTGCACAAGCGTCCCTCTGCTGTCTCGCCCCTCCAGATTAGAATCCTGTTTAACACCCATGACTGTCAACCTGTGACCTGTAACAGGCAGCAATGGGCCAGATTAAGATGCAAAGACCCTTAGCTCTTCTTAAGCCAAGCCTTCAGTTCAATAAGCTCTGCGGAGCCATCGCATTTACCCCGGACAAAAAAAAAATCAAACAGAAAAGTAAGTGGCCAAGACAGAGCTTACCCGCACTCGTAGGGCATCTTACAAATGCATTTTGAGTTCTGCAGTTTCTCCCAGGGCCGACAGAGAGGAGCTGCTGGTGGTAGAGTGGTGGTGACTAAAAGAAACATTGAAGAGACATGACCATTAGGGGATCTCATGATAAAGCCTTGTTTCATGATAGCACTCGCTGAATCAGAGTCTGTAGAAATTGCGACTGTAAAGATTTCCCACAGTTAAAAGAAAAGATGAGGATTTGGGTGGACAGGGAGGTGAGAAGGGTCTAGGTGAAGTTGGGAAAGGGAAACGATAATCAGAATATACTGTATGAAAGATCTATTTCCAATTTAAAAATAAAAAATAAAACAGTATGTTCTCATCCCAACTCACAAGCTATCTCCAGTTGACATCTGCTTGCAAAGGGAAAATTAGTTCTCCAAAGGCCCAGTGGTGGAAAGCCAACGTAAATGAACTCAATGGCGATTTTGTGGACTTTTTGTTGCATGTCGCTTGTTAGAGCATTTTCACGCCTCACTGGTCTTTCACTTGTATATTATATTCTTCAGGTTTGTGTTTTTTATAGTGCAAGTGCTTGTGTGTGTGTGTTTTCCTTTTTTCTTTTTTTTTAAATTTTGGTTTATTTGGGTTAGTTGTTGTTTGCCCATTTATTTTCTAAAGAAAGAGAAAGAAAAAATGGGCATAGAATTGTGGGTAAGGAGTGGGGAAGATCTGGGAAAAGTAGGAAAAGGAGAAACCATGATCAGAATATATTGTGTAAATTTTTTTTCATTAAAAATTATAGGAACTGAACAAGTTGTGTTTCCAAATTTAGGAGCGTGCTTGTGCTCATGCACACTTGCACATGTGTGTGTGTGTGTGTGTGTGTGTGTGTGTGTGTGTGTGTGTGTGTATAACAACAATTAAAAAAGAAATAGGATGCCATGAATTTGTGAAAGAGCAAGAGGGAGCACAGGAAAGGCTGGAATGAAGAAAGAAAAGGAAGGAAAATAATGCAATTTTATTTTAATTTCAGGAAATAAAAAAATTAAAAATATATATTATAGCTGGGAAGTGGTGGTGCATACCTTTAATCCCAGCACTCGGGGGGAGGGAGGCAGAGGCAGCAGGATCCGGGTGAGTTTGAAGCCAACCTGGTCAATTGAGTAAGTTCTAGGACAGCCAGGGCTACACGGTGAAACCCTGTCTCAAAAACCAAAAAACAAAACAAAACAAAAAACATATATGTGTGTGTGTTATCTATATACACAAATGAATGTATACATATATAGTATAAGGTTCTAGAGCATTTCACAGAAGAGCACTCTAAAAAGCTGTAGTGGTGATAACAGATACCATTTCCTAGGCACATTTAATGGATCATGCACTGTTCACACATTTTACTATCTGATCCCTTCTAACAAGTGTCTATATAAAAGATGAAAAAACCCAAGGGTCAAAAAAGTTTTGGAAATTGGTGCTATCTCAAGTGTTTTACAAATCTTCCTATGCAGAATTAAGCTCACATTTGTTGGAATCGATGGCGAGTAGGGCAGGTTCCCTTTCATGAAGATGATCCTTGTGAACTGTTTGTTTTTGTGTACTGCATTTGCCAGTAGCCCGCCATGGGTCACAAAGCCACAAGAGAACTTGGAGCACTGGAGAATGGTAGGTTTTGTCCTTTTTAACTGCATTTATTTCTTTATGGTATGCATGTGTGTGGCACACATAGAGAAGTCAGAAGACAAGTTCCATCAGATGGGTCCTGGGAGATCCAACTTAGGTCATCAGGGTTGGCGGCAAGAGCCTTTACACACCGATAGCCTACAGGCATGATTTTATAAAGAAAAATTATAGAATGTATGCATTCCTTGCTTGTCTTCCAGAAATCTAGAAATCTCAATAACAATCACATTCTGTAAACACTTCAGTTTGATGCAATGGCACTCCAAATGCAAGAAAGAAGATTGAATCCGGTACTAGAAATGAAAACGACATAAGGGAGAGAGGTGCTATCTGAATAACAGGGTAGTCTGTAGTGCCCTGGTAATATTATTTTCTCAATCTGTTCTGTTTTGTTTGCTTTTGAGACAAGATCTTATACTATGGCTCAGGTTGGCCTCAGAGTTGAGGTCCTCCTGTTTCAGATCCTCAGATCACTAGGATAGCAGGTACAGTGGTCTGAATGAGACTAACACACACACACACCATGGGCTCATGTCTGTATGCTTAGCACTCAGCTGAACTGCTTGGAAGGATTTCGAAGGGTGTCCTTGCTGAAGGAGGTGCGTCAGTGGAGGTGGGCTTTGAGGTTTCAAAAGCCTACGCCAGACCCGGTCTCAGTCTCTGCGTCTGTGTCTGTGGCTCTCTCTCCCTGCCTGCTACCGGTGGATCAGGATGCAAAGCCCGTGGCTACTTCTCCAGCACCAGGCCTGCCTGACTGCAGCTACATTCTCCACCATGATGATAAGGAACTGACCCTCTAAATCTGTAAGCCGGGCCCCAGTTCAATTTTTCTCTTTTTTAAGAGTCACTTTTGTCACAGCGTCTCTTCACAGCCACAGAACAGTCACAAAGGCAACAGGTACAGCTACCGCTGGTAGTTCCTTTGTTTTCATCAACCAAGTTATGTCAATTTATGTAAATGGTGAAGATAAGAGAGGATGCGTAGGATCTACATTTTGCAACTTTTCTGTCGTCTAAAACCCTTCTAAAGTAAGATTTTTTTATTAACCTACATTGTGGTTTGAATTAAAAAATATCCCCCATAAGCTCCTGTGTTTGAACAAATGGTGGCACTGTCTGGGGTGGTTATTGGAGGAGCAAGAACATCACCAGAGGTGGGCTCTGAGGACTTCGCCTGGACTCCCCCCCCGCCCCGTTCTCACTCTGTTTCCTGGGTGCAGTTGTGAAGTAATGAGCCAGCTTCCGGCTCCTGTCACATGACCCATCCTTCCCCACCATTGTGGACTCTCCCTCTGGAACAAAATCAACTCTTCTGTAAATTGCTTTGGGTTATGGTGTTTTATCAAAGTAGCAGAAAAAGAACTGATATAGCTCATACGATAATAGATTTCATTAAGCTAGCTTTACTCATGCTAGCTTTACTCACTGCACTTTGCTTATTAGGTTCCCTGATTGCTGCTGCCCTTATTCACTCTAAATAATCATCTGCTTTAGTATCCGAACTGTTGCTTTTGTTTTCAATGTTGTTTGTATGTACACACGGGTACATGTATGTTTGTATGTACACACGGTCACCATGCATGTGGAGGTCAGAGGACAACTTTGGGGAGTAGCTTCACTCCTTCCACCTGGTTTTTGGAGGCAGGTTTCTTGTTTCACTGCATACTCTAGATAACTGACCCCCACTCCCCATATCACATTAGGAGGGCTGGGATTACAGTCGCTCACTACTTTATCTGGCTTTTTACTTGGGTTCCAAGGGTCAAACTCAAGTCATCAGGCTCATATAGTGTGTCCTTCTACCAGCTGAGCCACATTACCAGGCCTCCTGTATGTATTTTTTTAAGCATGCATTGTGCAGATGAGAAAAAAGCATTTTTTGTCTTATTCTGTCATATGATTTACAGCTCTATCCATTTTCTTTCAAAAGATACAGTTTTGCTTCTCTTTGATAAAATTCCACTGTGTAAATGAACCACATTTTTGTCTTAATTTCTAAATTTGAATTTAAATATTAATATTGATGTTTTAAATAAATATGAATATTAATATCTTTAAAGTACCAAATTTGTACTTCATTCTCTCCCCTTGAATTTTTCCTTTATCCTCACACACACACTCTAATTCCCTCCCAACTTCATATGCTCTTTTTTTTTTTTTTAACCCAGTGAGTTGACTGCCTATATGGGTGTTCGGCTATCTATACCCACAGGCTGCATTTCTGAAGAAAAGTGACCCCACACACAGCAGCCATCAATTACCTAGCTCCTCAGCCATCAGGGGTCCTTCATGACCTCCTCCCCCATGCAAGCTAGGATTTTTTTTTTCTGGTTTGATCTTGTGCAGGTCTTGTGCATGACATATCTCATTGTCTTCATTCATCTGTTGGTAGAAATCTGAGCTGATTCTATCTGTGCTATTGTAAGTGCTGTAATAATTACAAACGTGCAGGTATTGTTTTCCTTTGATGACTTAGATTCCATCAGGTGTGCAATATCACTGGATGATTTGACAATTCTAATTTTGATGGTTTAATTGTTTACAGTATCTCTGAATTGGTTTTCATTGGACTAAATTTACATTCCCATCAGTGCTATGTAAGAATTCCTTATACTGACAGAATTTGTTGTTGTTTAGTAAAATATTTTTAATTACATTTATTAGATCAAAGCACATTTATCTGTAAAAATTCTGGAGATGAGTAGAGCTGATAGCCATTCAACAGTAGGAGTATGCTTAATACTAGTTATCTGGTCAGATGAAAGGGGAGGAGGTCTTCCCCCACTCAGTGGACTTGAAAGGGGGCAGGGAGGAGAGGAGGGAGGGAGGGTAGGATTGGGAGGGAATGAGGGAGAGGGATACAGCTGGAATACAGAGTTAATAAACTGTAACTAATAATAAACAAACAAACAAATAAATAAATAAATTAGTTATCTGTATATTTAAAATAATTAAAATAGTAAATCAGGATATGCATAAGTATGTAAAGGTCTAGTATTTCATTCACTTATTACTTAACTGATATTTTGTGTTTGTGTACATACATGGAATATGCATGTTTGTGTGAATAGCAAAACTTTTAAAGGATTAAATATCCAAAAGGCTAGTACTTTAATCAGTTATTACTTAATATTGTGTGTGTGCACATGAGTGCACACAAGTATACACATATGTGGAAGCCGTAGATCAATGTCAGGTTGTCTTCTTCTAGCCCTCTCCACCCTATGTTTTGAGACAAAGCGTCTCATTGAACCTGGAGCTTAACATATTGGCAAGACCAGCCAGCCTGACGGTATGTACCCTTCTCCATGTCCCACGCTGGGGTTAAAGACATTTACAGCAATGCCCAGCTTTTATATGGAAGCAGGAGATCTAAACTAGGACCTTCAAGAGTATGCAGGAAATACTGCACCCACTGAGCCAGCTCCCCGTTCCCATATCTAACTGATATTTTAAAACACCAGCTTTGAAAGCTGATAAACATAGGAATTTTTGTTTGTTATGGGTTTATTTTAGGTGTAGTTATTATTGTTGTCTGCATATCCAGAAAAACGGGTCTATAAAACATCTTTAATTAGAACCAGCTATAATATTATTTTCCAAGGAGTAGGAGAAAAATTCATACTCAATTATGCTATAAAATGACAGAAGCAAACATTTCAGAAAAACAACTATCTAATTTCCTTTGAAACAAAATTATGACCCCATTACGTATATACTGTTCGCCTTCATTTTCAAACCACGGGTACAGGTGCATTACTTTACGCGACTCAAGCAAACTCGTATCAGTGCGGCAGGGTACACACCAATGATATCAGTCGTTTTCTGATGTGTTGGGGAAAGAGCTCATCGAGGCTGATGTGGAAGGCACTCCATTAGTCTGCCGTACTCCTCTCTGCTCTCTACACATCACCACTCGCCATGTCTACCTTCCGGGCCACAGGACCGCTTGCTTCAGTTGTAGACATCTAATTCACTTAGCAGAGTTCATCATAGGATCTAACGCTTCCTCCTCTGAAGAACACACAGACTTCAGCACTGAACTAAAATTTTTACACTAGAGAAATACTCTGTGAAGTAGGATGGACATGAGCTTTCCTTCTTTCCCGGTTACGACTGTTAAAAGCGTCTTTCCAGGCTGGAGAGATGACTCAGCCGTCAAGAGTGCTTGCTGGTCCTGCAGTAGGCCTGGGTTCAGTTTCTGGCACCCACAGAGCAGCTCACACCTGTTTTTAACTCCAGCTCCTCGGCATCCAATGCCCTCTTTTGGCCTCTGCAAGCATTGGCCTCACATACAGTGCACTTGCATACATACAGGCAAAACATACACACATAAAATAAAAATAAATTCATCTTTTTTAATTATTAAATAAGCAACACATTTACATTTACTAATATGCAAATGATAAATATGTTTTTTAAAACAAATTAGCCCATTTAAAAACCTCTGAAAATACATAATTTGTCTTCCTAAAGTATTTTTTCTGTCTTAGGTGTTTTTGTTTGTTTGTTGAGACAGGATCTCTGTACATCACTCTGACTGTCCTGGAACTCAGTATGTAGACCAGGCTGGCCTCAAGCTCACAGAGATCCACTGGCCTCTGAGTACTGAGATTAAAAACATGGATCACCACACCCAGTTTATTTTAGGTTCTTAAAGGAATGTTCTAATGTGACGAGTGCTTAGAACTTTAGATTGCTGGATTTCCACTACCAAGAGCAAAAGAAGACCCACACATAAATCCCACACACACCTGCCGAACCTGAAACTGAGCTCAAAGTCCCAGGAAGCAGCTATTTGGGGAACACAGAGGAAAGACAGCTGACTCCAACCACAAGAACTAGTGGTTGCAGAAGGAAAATGGCTGGCTTCCCTGTTCTTCCCCTAACAAGCCTCCCATGTTCTTCCCATCCTGGGCTACAAAAACCTCACACTAAAGTCTAGGTCCTGCATTTCTTGACCTCTGGTCATTGAGTGACTCTGTCCTGTGCCCTGATCGCAGGGTGGCCAAAACTGGAGATGTCACCTCTTTGGCATTAAAGCATTCTCCAGCTCTTGGGTTCCTTTAAATTCTCTTTTGTTTCTTCCTGAAAACTTAATTCTCACTTACCCTTACAAAGAGAAGCTTCAGAAACCACAAGACTTTTCTTTGAATGATGTCTACTTTGCAGTGTTAAATATACTTAATAAATCTTCATTTTAATATCAATAAACTCTCTGAGAGTCCAGAAATAAAGCATTTAAATTTTTAAATAAATTGTCGCCTTAACTCTGAATTCAGGAAACCAGAAGAAAAACAAGTATCAGCTTTCAAAAAGTCTTCCTTTTCTTGGCACCCTAACAACTATAAAACCATTCTTTCGTATGGAGAAGTGAAGTTCAGAGTTCCTGTCTTACACTCCATGAGTCTATTGTGCCACATGAATAGATGTGGACCAGTGACCTCATTCTCCTAGGGAGCCAGATGGAGAGAATGATGCACTGGGGTGCAGTGCCATGAAGGTCACCAAAAGCACTCTCACCTGTCTGAGCACAGATGGCATTGAAGAGACAAGGAACCTACTCACCTTTCTGCACACACTGGGCGTTCTTCAGCTCAGGACTCCATTTAAGGCTGGAGCCACAAAGGAATGTTGAAGGACCTTCTAAGGACATGCCACCCGCACAGGAAAGGGTCACCTTCTCCCCAACCATGTAAAAAGGTTTCTGGGGGTGACTCTGCATGCCATTCATCAGCACAGGCAGAAAACAGGCAATTTCTGAAGATAAAAGAGAACAGAATGCAAACAGTCACTGCTTTCCTTTTCCTAAACAACCTTTTAAAAAAACAGCCTTATGTTGTGCTTATATACTTGTTCTGCCTTTTCATGTCACAGGACAAGCAGGGGAAAAAGAGAGTCTGCTCATAGCGTGCTCCAAAAGGTGCGCTCCATGATGTCTGGCATGTAATTGACCAATGAGTGACTGAAGACAAAACAGCTGTCACCTCCTTCCCCTGCCCTCAAAGCAATGTGACAACCTGAAATGAACAAGCCTACAAAAGGTCCCAAAGCCCAGCCTGCTGCTAAAATCAGACCTCACAGCTGCCACTTATCTCTGCAGTGAGGTGATGTCCCACCAAAATTTTCCCAAGAGCTTTATTCATTTGCATATCATTAGCTCTAATTAGATATGTCACCATCTAAAAATTTAAAGCACCACCTTTCACCTTGCAGTCATAAAAGTGTTCGGTGTTCAGGATTTTCCCATCCCAGCCTTTCCCTTAATGGTATTCATTAGTTCAAATCTATTTAAAAATAAAACAGCAATATATATATATATGAAGAACAGGTCAGAAATCATGATTGAAAACTAAAATCTTAGCAATGTAGCTCATAGATTTTAGACACTGCTATATAACATTGCTGTGTTTCAGCACTCTTTATCAAATGCAATATTTACCAATTACTAAGTGCCTAAATTTTGCCAAATATGTTGTATCTGATGGAGAAAAGCTTAGTGCAGGTCCCATATTGTGCCGTAATAATCTAGCATTGAATTTGTTTCTGGCACGATACATCTGCAGCCTCTCTCCTACCAAGGCAGATAGGAAAGCTGCACCGGACTAAAAGAAAAATGTTTCTGAGAATCAGAGAGCTATCAAAAGAGAGCAGTTTTAAGGGCCAAAGATTCTAGACAGAAGAGAAATCTAAGGTAGCATGTTTTTCCACATGAAGTACTTGTAAATTTGAAAAAGTAAAATAAAAATAAAAGCATAGTGAAGTACAAACTGAGGTGAGAACTGCAAAACAGAGGTTGAGCTCACAGGAGAGACACAGGATAAGGGATCAAATCCAGGGCTCCACCTCTGTCACAAAAGGAGATCTCCAGGTAGGAAGTCCATACTGTTCAACAGAATCACTTACTGGCCAGACACCATTGAAATAAAGGTTAACCAGAGATAAATCAGCCTCACTGTTCACCAATAGAAAATGTGTCTTCTCTAAAGATATCATCACAGCCTCAAATTGTTCTTAAAGTTTTTTCATGTATAGAGTAGCATTTAGCCAGTTTAACATTCAAAAACAAGAGAATGACCAAAGTTTGACCACTAAAAATACAGCAGAAACAAACCCATAAGAGATGCAGATAATAAAATTAACGGTTACAGGCCTTGAAAAAGCTGCAATTAGTTTGTTAAAAGTTTTAAATGGTGCCAGCTATGGATCTTGTCCCTGCTATCTCAGCAGCTGAGGCTAAGGCAAGAGGATTGCCAGTAGTTATGATCATGTAAATTCCATGACAGTTTGGGCTCTTGGGTGAGATTTCTGTGTCCAATAAATAAATAAATAAATAAATGACAAGATAAAAATTTTCTACAAAACATTGGAAAATATTTATAACAAACAAATATATTAACAGTTCATTAAAATTCTTAAAAGACTATACCACAGTTACACAGAAAATGCATGAGTGAAAGATAAATCAATAGAAATATTTAACAAGAACAGTGGAGCAAAGACTATCAAGTATCATATACAGTGACGCGAACACCAACTTCCATCTCTCTCTGGTTTCTCACTGTGGATGCTGTGTGAACTGCTGCCAATCTCCCTTCCCAAAGGCTTCCTCACCATGATGGTCTAAACTTTCCCTGCGAACTATGAGCCAGCGGAAGTCTTTTTTTTTCCTTAAGTTATTTTGACATGTTTTTGTCTTGTTTTGTTTTGTTTTGTATTGTTTTGTTTTGTTTTGTCACAGTAGAGAGAAAAATAACTAATACAGGCTCCTAACAGCTTTTCAGGAAAAGGAGATTAACTAAGGCTGGTGATGATTTTTTCCGTGGTATTGGGTTAACATGGGCAACTATTTATCCTCATTCATTTTCTTCTCTGTCACTCTGTCATCTTAGGATATATAGTACAACTGAGACCACTCACTCTGACAATGCATTTCTCCAACAAGCCACTGTAAATCTTCTCCACATCTGGCAACGGGATCTCCAATAAGAGAATACCCTTCATTGCAAGCATATAGTATGTTTTTCCCAACAGGAAACACTGTACCTTCACCCTAAACAAAGACAAAAGATGGAGATAGTTTGAGTTGTCCTGTTTCTCATCAACAAAATGTTTCTTTGGTTTTATTTGGCCTGAAAATCATAATTAACCTTAAACATAAGTCAACTTATATTCAAACAATTGATTTAGAAACACAATATAAAACATTTTGTCCTGCATGGGTCTATTTAACAACACTAGTACCTCCACCGATTGAAACACAGCCCTAATGCCATCATATTATGATGAATTGATTGTTCCCAAAATGCCAAGTGCTGTACTAAGCATTTTGTTAAAATCACTTTCGTGAACACCATTCTAGTAATTTCCTTTCCTTACACATGCACTAAAAGGCAGTTTGCATCAGAATTGGAGGTAGTTTTGTCTATCCATTCTTCATGTTAAAGAAGAATATTCTGTTCCTCGGCAATGTTATCTAATAAATGTCAGCATAACAGAAATATGTGTATCTTCTCGGTATCTTCATGAAAGTCTCATTGATGACATTGTACCATCTGGTCACTTGCTCTGCTTTTAAAGACAGGATTTCACTGTGGATCTCAGGCTAACTGGAATTCACTATCAAGTCTTAGGCGGCCTCAAACCCAGACTCCTCACACCTCCAGCTCTGCCTAGATTATGCACATCTGCCGCCACACCTGGCCCACCAGTAACCTCTAAAGGGCATGATATTGATCTTCTTCCCCTCTCCACTCTAGTTCTGGAAACACTGCAGTGAATGGATTAGATACTTTGTTAGCCTGTAATATGAGGAGGTGAGTTGTCATAATAAAGTAAGGAACGTAAAATTCCAGACTAAAAGAGTGTGGTTAGCCTCATTTAGGGATCCTTGCTTTCTCTCCTTACTTTCTGGTTCTCTGTTCCCCACACACAGGGAAATACTGGAGAAATACAGGCATGGGGCCTGGTGTGGAAGTGGACTCTCACATAGCTGTACTCTAGAAGATAGAACCTGATTTCCTGGTGCTTCATTATCATTGTCAGACATGCTATTCCAGGCTCAGTTTGCCTCCTTTATAGAAGCCTATAATTCCTATTAAGGAAACAATGGGAAAGGCACTTATCAGTGTTTGACTGTAGTCCCTAGCCCTTCTGCTTTGCAAGAGGGACTTCATGATGAGGAAACTTAACTCAATACCATTCAAACATTTTTATACAAAAAAAGAGACATTTCTATAGCAATTAAAAAAGGTTTACAGGCTCCATTCCCAACCTATTGAATCAGAAAAGGCTGGAGGATGAGAGTCAAGCAACAGTCTCTGTTTTGAAGTTCCCTGAATGATCTATGTAGACATTCTGAAACAGTTTTTTTTAAATGTTGGCTCTTAAAAGGACAAGAGAGCTTCATGGATTACTAAGGTATGTGTGTTTGCATTATATGTTCTCTAAACATGCTTCATTCAGAAGCCCCGTAGATCATGGCAAGAGTGTAGAACATTCTGCCATTCTCTGCTTTATATTCTTCTGCCTCTGCCTCCTTGCTTTGTCAACAGTGTCTACATTTGCAGAAACTTAGGCAAACTCTCATTATTGTGAGCTTAAAAGTCTGGAATTTAAGAACCAAAATTCCTCATGAAGAAGATAAAGCTGGCAGCATTGAGAACACCCTTATGAAGACATGTCTCTTATGTGAGTCACAAAGAGATGTCATTGAGCTCTGGAGTCAAAGCATTGAAAAAAAAAAAAAACTGGTAACAGAAGTAATTAAGATTACCGCAATGCCAAGTGAGGTCACTAGAACAACCAATGGAAATAGGCCAGTGTTCTTTTATGACCATGAAAGTTGGTAAAAGTATCATAAAGTCTATCTCATCAGACAGCGGTTAAAAATGACTCTTGGGGTAAATAAAAATTCTCCTTCCATGATAAAAATTGTTTTAAGAAAAGCCTTTTTCAATAAAAAGAATTTAAAAATTCTCTAGTCTTAAAAGCTTGCCTATACATTCACACTTAACAGTAACATTGGAAATGCTGAATGGCCCTCTAACTCATCAAGTGGCAAGACCATAGAAGGAATACTACCTTTTACAAAATTTGAATCACCTTAAGGCAGCGGTGGGGAGGGGGATGCCACAAATGAAATCCTCACTACTGAAGTTAAAATGCACATATAAAATATTTTAGCACTATTTCACCATGGAGAAGGAGCTAGGTAATGGCCAAGTAAAGAGATAGAAGGTGGAATGTTTATAAAGGAGGAAGATAGGTTTTCACAACCAACTTGAACAAATCCATCTTTTAAGGCAGGGGGTGATGGGCAGAATCCTTTTGGAGCCAAAGACAAATCAAAGCAATGTGGCTCGAGCAATCTGGAAAAAAAACAGAAACAAATGGAAATTAATGTGATTGGTTTCCATAGCTTAGTTGATTTATATTATACTATTATATTATATTATTATTACTATATACTTTCCCTTTACATCTGAAGGGATACAAGTAGAGAGTAAGAGAACATAAATATATATGTTTATCATTCTTAGAACCAAATATGTGACCACATGTTTTTTAAATACCTTAAGCATAACCCAATCTATCAAAAGATGATCTAAGTATCTACAAAACCAGTAGTATGAAAAGCAAGTAGGAAGAAAAATGAAAGTCTTTAGATAATGTCTTCTAGATTTCATCTGTCTCAGATATCACTGTGTCTCCTGCTGTTGGGTTCTGAAATCCTTTTATCACAAAATTAATTCTATTCAATAAAAGTATATGATGTCTAAAAGTATACGATGTCTAAAGTAAAAATATTTACTTTTACTTTATGTACATTGGTCTTTTGTCTGCATGTGTGAGGGGGTTGGATTCCCTGGAATAGGAGTTATAGACAGTTGTGAACTGCCATGTGGTTGGTGGGAATTGAACCTGGTTCCTTTGGATGAGCAGACAGTACTCTTAACCACTGAGCCATCTCTCCAGCCCAGGAGCAGAGATCCTTAATGTCACATCACCAACGCTATTCCTGAAAATTTACCATAAGCATGAGCATCCCAGCAGGAGCTTATAATAATGATAGTGTTAGGAGACATCATCATTAAACAGGGATTGTCCATAGTGCTCCTGTGGTCAACATACTACAGGTCCACTCTGGCAAGTAAAACTGAACAAGAAAAACACAAACAGGCTATGACAGTTCCTTCTTGGCTAAGTTCCTTATCTTTTGCAATACCCCCAAAGAAACCAGAAATGTGAAGTAATAAAGTATTCTTGTTTACGCTGATCAGGAGGATAATCCTTTGTGCAACAAAAAAGAGAGAGAGAGAGAGAGAAGGAGGAGATCACTTCCATGTTTCCCCTCTCTCTCTCCCCCTCTCTCTCTCTTTCTGTCTTTATAGAGAGAGGTTTGTTATCACTCCATTAAACAGGCTTAATTCTGTAGGAAATTGGTCCCCTTGGGCAGAGACCCGCTTGCACACACTCATCCTCTTAAGGATACTTGTGCATTCTTTCCCCATACTAACCCGTATGTCCATTGGCTCCCTCAGTGAGGAGATACTAGTTATTGTTGTTTTACATGGCATGAAAGTCCTGGGATCAAGGCAGGACTTACCCATCACTTACCCAAGCAATTTGTTTCTTTCCTTAACTCACATGACCTCCAAGTTATCTTACTAGAATTTTTTGTCTAGTTTCTGAACTCTGGAATATGGCATAGATGGACCAACAACTGCACTTTTGGAGTCCTTTAAATAGGTCCTCTGGAAAACGTACTGCCAAATGCCACACACGATGTCACCATTCAGCTGTGAAAACCCAGATCTGTCATCACCCCAATTCAAAAAGGGCAAATAGGATGACCTCTCCCAATAGAGAAATGATGAGAAGAGGAGGTAAAATTGGCTCAAAAGACCCACCAAAAAAAAAAAGAAAGAAAGAAAAAAATTAGCTTTTTGGGGGGAAGGAGGGTGGTGATTGTGTTGTTTCATTTGCTGCTTCTTCTTTTCTTTCTTTCTCTCTTTCTTTCTTTCTTTCTTCCTTCCTTCCTTCCTATCTTTCTTTCTCTTTCTTTCTTTCTTTCTTTCTTTCTTTCTTTCTTTCTTTCTATCTTTGCCTTTTGACTAACAGCCAAAAATGACCTTGCATCTCTTTGGCAGTCTCATCTTTACCAGGGGCTGGAAATTCCAGAAGCATTTCGGCCTCTCACGCATGGTCTGTCCTACATGATTTTAGAGTCACCTTTCTACAGAGAGAAATGTTAGAGCAGCAATAACGTCCCAATGAGAAAAAAAAATCCTTCCGGGACTGAAAAGATGGTTCTGTGGTTGTGTGCTTACTGATCTTGCAAAGGCCCAGAGTTCTGATCCCACTCCCTAAGTCAGATGGCTTATAACTGCCTGTAATTCTAGCTCCAGAAGAAACTTTAGCTTCTAACCTTCTTGGACATGGTCACTTTCATATTCATACACATAATTAAAATTGGGAAATAATTTTAAGAGAAAAAAAAACTCCTTCTGGTCAAAAGAATAGAACCTCTGTGGAGACCTAAAATTCTTCTTAAGCCAGACCAGTCTCTTGGCTAAGGGACCCTCCCAAAGCAGACAGGTTCTCCTTAAGCTATGTTAGAGAGATAGGCAGAATAACTATTTATTTAATGAAATACTGTACTTTGCCTTGCCTGATCTCCAGTCGCCTAGTGTAGTCTCTTACGGAGCATAAGCATACTGCTTCACACGTCTGTGGACGTTAATTACTCAGGAAAATATAGTTTTTCCTTTCCCTCTCTGCTCTAGCTAAGCGTGCTTTCCCTAACTCTAGATTTCCCCCACATTTGGCACTATCTTAGTTGTTCCCTAAAGCTCCCCTTTCTACCATGTGACTGCTAGTGTGTCGTATGTCTGATCTCTATACCAACATGGTTTTTCTCTTCTTTCTTTTTTTTTTCTCCTACCCACCTCACTCTTCTATTTTTCTCCTCTGGGAAGCTGATGAGATTTATAGCTCACTCACCCCAGGAATGTTTCTTGTAAACTCTAATAAAATTGAATTCATGCTTGCAGGGTACTGTGACACAGGCTTGTAATCCCAGCACTTGGGAAACAGAGGCAAGAAGATTCAGGTCCAAGTTCATCCTCAGTCAATCACATAGTGAGTTTGAGGACAGCCCCATGCTACATGAGACCTTGTCTCAAATATGTGAATAAATAAATATTTAAAAAGAATTCTGACACAGGGGCACAAATGAGTCAACAAAGCTGAGAGTGCTTTTGCATGATCCTTCCCAATATAAAGTTAGGGTCAGATTTCTACCAGATCATTCTAGCAAAACAATATCCATCTGAAGTGTTTGGCTTTGTGTATAACCCAGAGAACAAGTCAGCAGGAGGCACTGGTATATCTGAAAATTATCACGTTCATTGAAAGTTCCCATTGGCCTATGCCAGCCACTTTTACATGCTTGGTCAATCACTTTTACATGACTTAACTCTTATATTTTATTATCAGTTTGCCTACAACAATTATTCTGATTTTAAAGGTATATCAAGTGACTTACTCAAGGCTACACAGCAAGTAGGGAGCAACTCACTGGCCTTCTCCCAGTTACTAGCCCTGTATATCCCTGGTGTCTAGAAAACCTGGAATTCACAGCCAGTATTACTGGTCGTGACAGGCCTCCTTCCTTCACTCACTCCAGTGCTAAGGGGCAAAGCAGACATTGATAAAAATCATCACTTAACATCTAGTCATCCAAGAACAGCAATCATCAAATTATGTCCATTGCCCAGTAGTCATTCTCCATGTAACTACTAAAAGGTCTGTTCTCCGTTACCGCAAGTTCTCCAAGTCCTGGTCTTCACATTGCCTGCTTTCAGTTGTTTCTCCAATACAGGCCTTCCCACCTGCACTAGGAAGGGGATTGTTGCATTCTCGACTCCTTGATTTCTTCCCTTGAGCACAGGGGCTCCAGGAGGACCAACAACTCCAACCTCCATCAACCCCTCCTGTAATATAAGAAAGAGGCTCTTGACTTCTGGACAGCAAGACTCCAGAGCTCAATGCTGTGCTTCCTGCTAATGTGTTCCCTGCAGGGGCTGGGAAAAAAGGAGGGGAGATGTGTGGTTGAGAAAGGGCATATTGCAGGACCTACAGTGGCTGGATCTAAATCCAGCTGTGGTGGTTTATTAGTTCACAACCTTGGACAAGGCATTCAAACTTCTTGTTCCATTGTTATTCTGGCGTTTTCTGGGGTTGGTGGGTTGGTGGGTTGGTTGGTTGGTTGGTTGGTTGGTTGGTTGGTTGGTTGGTTGGTTGCAGCATCTAGAATGGCTCTACTCACTGTATCCATATCCATCCTGCTGTAGAAATATTCTTGTAATATCTTAAGTGTGCTAATTATTTTGAAGATCAAAGTACTTTCACTTACACCATATCATGTATTTTCTTCTCCAGACAATGACCAAAGTGAAGGGAGGAGGACATTTCCCTTCCCACTTTTACTCCAATACTTACTAGCAAAGGATGCTTCCATTTTAACAGATAATTGAAAATCCATGTGTCTATTGAAAAACTATTGACTAATGGTACATAATACAAAATAGCATAGATGTTCCAAAGAGCTCGCTGTCACAAAGGCTAGGCAAGAGATACAAGCTCCCATAGAGCTATGTTAAAACAAAAACCTTATTGAGACATTTGTGAAAAGATGGGAGATGTTTTAAAGATAATTCTGTTCTAATAGGAAATAGTCAAAACCAGAATGGTGTCTTTAATTTAGATGAGTAAGAAGGGAAACAGCAAGAGACCTTAGCCTTAAAAGCTACAATGTGGAGGTGAAAAGCAGAGAGAGATTCTGAATTCAAACACAACTTCACTTCTTCAAACACCAGCAGTGCATGCCAAGCGCCAAGAAGAATTCCATTTCCAAAGTATCCCTCGTGACAAGTGAAAACCTATTATACTGACCTGCTTGATCGCCAACAAGGACTCCTTGCTCACATGCCATGCCAAATGTGTACGGTTTGCAGTAACACTGGCACTGTGTCCCAACAACAAGAGCGAGGCCACCGTTCTGGCAAGGCCGGCAATGGCAGGGATCAAATTCATCCAGGTACTCCTCAAGAGCCCTCTTCAGGTACAGTTTTTTCACAGAGGCACAGGGCACTTCCTTGACCAGCTCATACAGTGGCATCAGCTACAAAGGAAAAACAATGGTGGGTGCTCAGAGCTTTAGGTGAGAGCTCGTTCCTTATTGTATGCACACACACCACACTGAAACAAAAGCCACTATTGCTTTCGTTAAGACTGCTGATCCAGTTCCCAAAGCAAGAATAGAACCCATTCCTACATAGGCTGTTTTTTCCTTTTCATATGTACCTAAAGCTCTCTCTTCTCTCTTGCTCTCCCTCTCTTTCTCTCTCTCTCTCTGTGTGCATGTGTGTGTGTGTGTGTGTGTGTATGTTTGTATGTGTGTGTGTGTGTGTGTGTGTGTGTGTGCGCGCCTGTGAAAAAATGTCACATGTGGGCAGGTGCCCACAGAAGCAAGAAGAGGATGCCAGATCCCTTGGAGTTGGAAATAATTACAGGCAATTGTAATGCCTGCCAACATGAGGGGCAGGAACCAAAATGGGGTCCTCCAGATGAGCAGCAAGAACGCCTAACTGACAAGTCACCTCTCTAGCTCCCTGGGATGGAGTTTAATTTATAAATCAGGCACAGCAAGAGATTGTGTGCTTTGCTTTATTGCTAAAGAATATATGGGAGAGTGAAAATGGCCCATTCTGAAAACTAAAAGGGGTTACTCCCTGGGAGCGTTCCTGGAAATGCTGTCTGCCTTATTTGAGGTAAACAGGGGCAGGGTGTTAGGGGTGCTTGGAGGTCTTTTTTGTTATTATTATGTCACGTGTGTATACCTCTCTTAATTGCTTAAATTCGACATTGTCTGGGATACTGACTAACATAAAGAGAATAGGTCATACAATCAGTTCTACCAAAACGTTTCTTCAGAAAATGTGGATTTTCTCTACTGAGGCTGACATGTTAGAAAACAACATGACCATTTTTGCAAATTTTACATTTTCCCATGTGCAGCTGATTCCACAAGATTCACAGAGTGAGCTACCACAGAACCTCACCACTCAAGAACACCCATGATGTACATGCACAAAAAAGCTCAGATGTCCCTGTTTGTTAATCTCCTGTACCATAGGCCACACCCACTCGTCTGGTAAACTGTCCGCCAGGTTCGATTGTTCCCCCTTCTGTGATCTAAACCACTGCAACATTCCCAGCACCCGGGAGCTTCAGGATTTTCGAGACAATGTGCCGCATTCACCATAGGAACGGTGCATTTCTTAATCATTTAACGTGTAAAAAGACTCGCTTCCATTGTTCTCAAGGCCGCCTTCCTTAAATCAGCGTCACAGCTGATTTTGAGTGTTAAAGCCCTAACCCCAGTTTCCAGGATGATCTTTGTTCCTTGTTGTACACTGTCTGCATAATTCATTCGGGTTGGGGTTTGGGGAGGAGGTAAAGGGGAGATTCTTTTCTTGTTTTTTATTTTGTTGTTGCTGCTCTTTGGAATACATATAATGTGTTATAAACTAAAACTTGTTTTTGTGATAAAACATCCTCGGCTCTGCCTGTCATTTGGTGCTACTGTAATTGGGCTCAGGAAGAAAAGCGATCTGACTGACAGATGTAACAGCACAAGAATCTATATGCATTCCTCTTGTAAAATCTGTGACCCCCTCTGGATTAGAAACCAGAGAAAATATGATCAAGGGGCAGGCAAGATGACTTGCCAGATAGCGGCACTTGCCTCACAAGCCTAGTAACCTGAGTTCAGTCTTCAAAACCCACACAAAGGTGGAAGAAGAGAACTGACTCCACAAAATTGTCTATGGGTCTCTCCAAGCATGTGATGGCACGAGTGAGCCACATATATGCACTGATAAACCAAAGAACGTAAATTTTTAAAAGAAAATAAAATCATACTTAGTGCAAAAATTAAAATACAAATTTCCTCATTAATTTGTCCTGGGATTTGCAGGATATTTAAGCTTTACTGCTGATCTACAAACAAACCACATCCTCTGTTTCTTATTATCATGTATGCATTCACTTTACTATATAAAGCATAATTGGGATGCAAGGAATGCTAATTGCAGCCAATTCTATTTAATCACCTTGATGTAATCTCATTTCCCCAACACAAATAAACATGACTGGTCCTCACTGCTGCACACAGAGCATCACATACCTTTTGTTTTATGACTTGGGGAAGGCTGGTTACAGAGTTGGCCCAGGAAGTATACCGCTCTTTGTTTCCAGTGGGATTATCCAGCTCCAGGTAACTAAGGCCAGATACAAAGCTAGAAGCTCCACCTCTGACAAAAGGGTCTCCTCGAAGCACCCTTCTCTGGTCTCCTTCACAGGAAGGAGGATACAAATGAAATAAGTCAGCATAAGTCAGCATGTGCAAATATAGTGAAATTAACAAGGTAAAAGTACAAAGTCTGTCAAGTGTGTTAAAAAAAAAAAAAAAAAACTCCGTCAAACTGTATGACATCTTGAGAAAAGCAAAACCTAAAGACAATAGAATGATGGACAAGAAAAATGCAGAGGATTTTCAGAGAATTTAAACCATTCTATAAAACACAACTGTGGTTATTATCCTTCTAACATACTTAAGGCCATAAAACATACAGCACCAAGAGAAAACCCTAATGTCAATTAATATTCTGTGAAAATATATGTCTAGGTAGATTCATCAGTTTTAACAGTGGCTCCACTATAGGAGGTGTGGCTAGTATGTGAGGTTTGAGGGCAGGAAGTATATGGCAAATCTCTACATTTTTCTCTTGATTGCGCTGTGACTCTCGGGGGACATAAAAATAAGACTGAAGAGAAAGGCAGGTGACTGGGGATTCATTTAATGGGTAGAGCATTTGCTAACCCTTGGGAAACTCTGAGCTCACACCAGCACTACATAAAACTAGTTTACAGGCCTGTAAACTCAGCATTCACTTAGGAGGTAGAGAGGATCAGAATTTCAAGGCCATCCTCTACTACAAAACAAGTTGAAGGCCTCCCTGGGATACATGGGACCTTATCTAAATGATGATGATGAGGGTGATGGTGATGGAGGTGGTGGTGGCGGTGGAGGAGGAGGAGGAAAAAGAGGAAGAAAAAGGCGAATAAGAGGAGGAAGAAGGTAGCTATGGACTGAGATAGAGGATATTATAAAATTGCTGCTAGTTTTAAATGTCTTAGTCCATTAAAAATATGAGACATGCTTTGCAAAAGAATATCATTAGAAGAAGCTTACATATATTAAAGGATGAAGTATCATGAAGGTGACACTTCTTTCAAGTAATTCCATAAATAACAGAAGCATTTTAAATACATGGTCATTGATGCTGCTAAATAATCTGCTGTATTGTAAATATTTTATGTATATGTGTGGCAAAATGTCAAAATAATAACTGTTATGTATCAGTATCTACGTAACTACTGAGTTCTCTATATTTTTTTATATATGAAATTCTTTGCGATAAAATACTGGAGAAAAAAAAATAGCCCAGGGTCTAGCATATTAACAGGTTTTTAAAAGCTATTAATTAACAGGAATACATTACCTAAAACATGAAAAGTGTTCTGAAAAGTTTGAATGCTAATTGAATTCCTATTTCCATTGATGTGCCTCATAATGGCAGACGTATTTTTATCTCCACTTATTATTGGTTCTTACAAAGGTCATGACTAGACATTTCTAATCTTACAGATCACATTTTGAGTGATTTCTACTTCTTTTCTTATAACTGTCCAAATTTTGCAATTTTGTCAAATGAACACACTCTACTTTTATAATGAGAAATTATGAAAGCCTGGTATTTTTAATAAATTACCTGGGTGCCTCCTCATTTTCATTGTTAATTCTGGTTTGATATGCAAATGGTAGCCTTTTTAGAGCAATATCTCACAAGTCCAAGCCTTGAGCTACTGAATCACCAACAGCTGGGGTGCCTGCAGGTCTGAGCTCAAGCAAGACCTGTAAGAGACTGTCTAAGGTGATCCTGGTGAGCATGAAAGACTGGGACTCATTGTCTTATGGACACACCAGGTTAAGATGAGCAGGCTTTACAAATTTGGTGCCATCTTTAAGTGTATGTGCTCTGCATCCAGATCCCAGAAACCTTCTGCTCTGGCTAATTCATGACCCTGAGAAAACATGGCAAGAATTGCAACAGAGTCCAACTCCATGCATTTACATCTCATGTCTAGTTCTTCCTGGCTGTGGTCTTGGTTTTGTAACTCAGTGTGCCTGTGTGTAACAGGGGGATATGAATTCTAAGTATTTCATAGATTAGAGGAGCACATGCTTAGCTTTTGTAAACCACTTAAAAGTGTTCTGGCAGAAAGCAAGTGCTATGTGTTTACTAAATGCAAACGAAAGTCAGTGAGTAGCTTTCTGTTGCCAGCACAGTGGACACCTGAGGTCAGCATCTTCCCACAGCTCCCCTCCGCACCTCTGCATCCAGAGAGCTACTCTTCCACTTCATTCAGAGGGAGCTGATGGGGAAGGGGGGGGCTACAGGGAGGTAACATGGGAGGAATTGGGAGGAGGAAAGGAAAGGGAAGATGATTTAATTATACTTTAATTAATTGTTTTAATGGGGAAAAAACTGTTCTTTAGCCATATCCATTTCCTTGGTCTAAATATTTTTTTTTGTCCTTGTCACTACCACGTTCTTGGTATCTAGGACCTCACTCAAGGATCCCTCCTTCCTCACTGAACATTAGAGCAGCCTAGGTCAGCTTTCATTCCTATTTCTACCCTCATCCCTAATAAGATATAAACTCCAATACTGCCAAATCCATCACATTACAGAAGGCACATTCCTCCCACGTGACAGAATGCATTCCCATTTATAGAAAATAAGCTTTAGTCTCTACAGCCAATGGATGCTTTTTTCTGCTCTTGTCTACCTTGACTTCTTTCTAGCTCTTCACTGTTGACTTCTCACTCTTTTACTTTCCTCTTCTCTTTCTCACTTTAAGGAGTCATTTGTACTCCATTCTGCCTCCTTCTCTACAACTATCCCTATGTAAACCTTCACTTAATTACTCCTGCATTAAGCCTTTTAGTGGTGGCCAATAGTTACCAGAATCAAATTCTAGTTCCTTAACACCGTGCCTATATCTGAATAACACTATCAACAGTAGGATACAAAACTAACACACACACACACACACACACACACACACACACAGAAAAAAAATCAGTAACTCTCCTATATACAAAAGACAAATAGACTGAGAAAAAAATTAGGGAAATGTTAACTTTTACCAGAGCCTCAGAAAAATAACTATCTTGGGATAATTCTAACTCTAAGCAAACAAGTTAACAACCCATATAATAAAAACTTTTCAAAGAAAACAACTGAAAAAAGACACCAGAAGATAGGAAGAGCTCCCATTTTCATGGAGTAGAAGGAATAACATTGTGAGAATGGCCATTCTATCAATAGCACTCCACAGATTCAATACAATCCTGAATAAATTCCAACAATCTTCTACTTCATATGAAAACACACACACACATACAAAATCCTGAAAAATAAAAGAACTGCAGGAGGTATAGCTATCTCAGATTTCAAGTTGTATTACAGAGCTATAATAATAAAAATAGAATGGTATTACATGAAAACTAATACTTTGATCAATGTGATTGAATTAAAAACCTGGACATAATTACACACACATACAGATATCTTTTTTTTTTTACGAAGAAGCCAAAAATACACATGAGAGAAAAGACAAAATTTTCAACAAATGATGATGACTAAAATGGAATGGCTGTATATAGAAGAATGCAGATAGATCCACACTTATCATCCCAAACAAAACTCAGATGGACCAGAGACCTCAACTAAGAACAGATAACCTGAATGTGGTATAAAAGGAAATAGGAAATAGCTTTGAAATTATTGGCATAGTAAAAGACTTACTGAACAGAAAACTATTAGCACAGGTACTAAGATTAAAAATAAATAAATGGCCCCTGTGCTCAAATTTTTTGGTTCTGTTGCTCTCCTTGTGGACCTCCTGTCCTCTCCAGCTCTTACTATTATTTCCCACTTCTTTCATAGGATTCCCTGCATTCTGCCCAAAGTTTGGCCATAAGTCTCAACATCTGCTTTGATAGTCTGCAGAGCAGAGCCTTTCAGAGGCCTTCTGTGGGAGGCTCCTAACTTGTTTCCTGTTTTCTTCTTCTTTTTCTGGTGTCCATCCTCTTTGCTGAGACTCATACTCCAACCAAGTACCATGCATGGAGGTAACCTAGAACCCCTGCACAGATGTAGCCCATGGCAGTTCAGTGTCCGAGTGGGTTCCATAGTAATGGGAACAGGGACTGCTTCTGACATGAACTGATTGGCCTGCTCTTTGATCACCTCCCCTGAGGCCATAGAGGAAGACAATGCAGCCACTCCTGATGAGACCTAACAGATTAGGATCAAAATGAAGAAAAAGAAACCCTTCCCTACCAGTGGACTTGGGGAGAGGAGTGTGTGAAGAAGGGGGAGGAAGGGAGGGATTGGGAGGGGAAGAGGGAGGGGGGAACTGGGGGGGGGGATACAAAGTAAATAAAGTATAATTAAAAATAAAAAAGAATAAAGGAATTGGAAAGAAAAAAATTTAAATGTAAAAAATTAAAGGATCAATGGTAATGGAAATTTCAGTTTCTTTAAAAATTTGGTTATGATAAAAAAATTAATAAATGGGAACTGATAAAACAAAAGTTTCTTATAGTAAAGGACACCATCATTCAGACAAAGAGGTAGCCTGGTGTATGGGAAAAGAGCTTTACTATTTATGCATATGATAGATGCTAATAAGCAAATAATATAAAGAACTTTTAAAATTAACATCAAAAAGCAACCCAACTTAACAATGGAGTACAGAACTAAACAGAGAATTCTCAACAAATGAAACATAAATGGCTGAGAAACTAAGAAATGTTCAGCTTCTTTAGCCATCAGGGAAATAAAAATTAAAACTACGTTGAGATTTTTATCTTAACAAAGTGACCAAGACCAACAAAAATATTTTAAAAAACCAACAGCAATGAAAAACAACAGCTTTTTCTCCTGATGATAAACAGTCACCCATTGCTTATGGAAGAATAAACTTTTACAGCCACTCTCAAAATCAGTGTGAGAGTTCCTAAGGAAACTGAGAATAGATCTACCTCAAGATCAGCTATCTCACTCTTAGGCATATACCCAAAGGACTCTACATCTTCCTATAGGAAGTCTTGGTTACCATGTCTATTGCTGCTCTATTCATAATAGCCAGAAATTGAAAACAACCTAGATGTTCATCAACTGATGAATGGATAATGAAAATGTGATACATTTATATAATGTATATTATGACATAATAAAATATTATTCAGCTGTTTAGAAAAAATACATTTACCAGTAAATGGATAGAACTAGAAAAATTATCCTGAGTAAGGTAACTTAGACCCCAAAAGACAAATCCTGCATGTTTTCTCTTACATGTGGATGTTAGCTTTTAAGCATTTGATTTGTGTGCTACAACCCAAATAACCACAGAAATTAGGCATCTAGTTACAGACTGTAAGAGAGAAAAGGGTCTCCCAAGGAAAGAGAAATAGAATATAATATTATGGAGAAATAAAGGGGAAACTAGAATAAAATAATTAATCAGGGAGGAGAATGAGATAGAGGGGGCAGAACATGGGGACAAATAACACTAAAAGCCATTTGAAAAAACATGAAAATCTACTATCTTAAGCTTCCTAAAATACACGTGTATTTAAAAGGAATATAAATAGAATCATGAAATATTAGGAAATAGAATGCCCCAACTAGACATTTTATGCCACCAAATAACACCTCCAGTTCCAGGAATGAGTTCCATCTTGATGTATTATTGGCCAAAGGGACCCCATTGAAACCCTCCAAACATCACAAGCAATTACCAAGGCTATTGGTTGCTCTCCTATTGCTGAGTACAACACTTATGTTACAGGCACAGAGAAGTTTAACTAATGCCTAACTAGAAATCTAACTCCTAATGACTATTATTCATTGCAGTAGAATGAATAATACACTCCTGAAAGAGAAAGGTAATCATCAATATCACCCAGCTACAAACCTCGGGACCTACAACAGTGAATTACAAGCAAGATATTCTGGTGCATTAGTGGTTCAATGGTTATAGAAATAAGCAACCACTTTTTGGTTGGATTTAAGGCCCACCCTATGAGATGGAACTCATACCTAACACCGCTAAAATGGCCAAGAAACTGAAACTAGACAGGTCATTGGCCTAAAGGAAAATCTACTATTATTATCATTCTTAAAGAACATAGCAATGAAATTACTCCTAATGACAAACTGATAAACACACAGAACAGACAATGCTCAACCCATATCAGAGAAGCTCCTTCTTTCAGTAGGTGGGAATTAACACAGAGACAATGTGCAGAGAATAACAGACTTTGGAGGACTCTGTCATATGTGGGATGTCTTTATAAAACTCCTCCCCTCAAGGCTCAGGTATCTATGAGGAAGAGGAGGAAAGACAGTAAGAGCCAGCAGAGATGGATAACTGCAAGGAAACAACGTCTTCCAGAAGCAACAGGATTGGTATCATAGGAACTCTCAGATGTGGCACATACACAGAAGCTGCACAGGTTAGGCCAGATGGGATCCCATCCGCTCCCAAGATTAGAACAATACATACTATTGTGTCTTCCATTAAGAATTAATTCAGCTGGGCCTGTCAATCACCTGGCCAAGAGTCCACCCCTCGGGAAGGCTGATTCACTCTAGGGCATGCTAAAGAGATCGGAGGAATAGTTATCCTGGTGAGATGATGACTTTAGCTTCACAGAAACCTTGTCTTTGGTGCAGTCTCTTACAGAGCCTCTCCCATACAGCTCTGCTATGTCTGTTTTCTTTCATCCTAACACCAAAAGGCATAGCTGTTCTTTTTTTCTTCTTTTCTAAGTTTTTGTTTCTGATCCTGGCCAACTTCTAAGCATGTTTCCACTGGCATTTTGGTGCTTTCTCACTCTTTCTCTAAAACGATTCAGCCACACACTCTCTAGCATGTAGCTCCATGGCTGAGCGTGTTCAAAAGGCATCGCTTTCTCTCTTCCTCTTCTCCATAAACCCTCCTGGTGATTTACAGCCTGACTTCCCTGTTGTTTTCTAATAACATTTTGTTCACAAATTTTCTAATAAGTCCATTTTAAATTTCTTTAATGAGCAATATTAGGAATCTAAGGAGGCCCTAATTTTCCTTCTACCATATAATGCCCAACATGGGGGCCCCCTAATTTTCTAGTAACAGAAGGATCAAGTCTACATAGTAACAGTGAGGAGCTATCTCCAAAAAGTAAAATAGTACAACAATGAAAATAAAGCAAGACATAAAAATAACCGACTAAAATTTTTTAAGCAAAATACCTGCTAAAAATTAAAAACTTAATTAATCATAAAAATGATCAAAACTAAGCCAGTAAAGCAAATTGGAAGTTTCTCATTTACCTGAAGTTGATTTCAAAGCATTCTCCAGTTCCTTGCATCTCCGATCTGCTGACACATAAAAATAAAGCCGAAAATCTGAAGAAGAACATGCCTTCTCCTGGGCTGACCCAGAACCTGGGAAGAAATGCAAAAGTCAAGTGTTTAGCTTCTGTGTTCATTAGAGACCTTCACTGGGGTGTAGCCATGTGTGGAAGTGGTGATTACAAGTAGTTTCCAGCTGTTGTGGCCATTTGCTAAAGAATAACAAAAGAGTGGGTAAAATGCTCAATCCTCATTCAGAAGGACAGACAGGATTGACATCAGAAGAGGAAGAAAACAGGAAATAGGACAGCAGCCTACAACAGAAGGCCTCTGAAGGACTCTACCTAGCACGGTATTAAAGCAGATGCTGAGACTCATAAGCAAACTTTGGGCATAGTGCAGGGAATCTTATGAAAGAAGGGGAGATAAAAAAGACCTGGAGGGAACAGGAGCTCCACAAGGAAAGCAACAGAACTAAAAAATCTGGGCACAGGGGTCTTTTCTGAGACTGATACTCTAACCAAGGACCATGCATGGAGATAACCTAGAACCCCTGCACAGATGTAGCCCATGGCAACTCAGTCCCCAAGTGGGTTTTCTAGTAAAGGGAACAGGGGCTATCTCTAATATGAACTCAGTCCCTGGCTCTTTGATCACCTTCCCCTGATGGGGGTTGGTAGCCTTACCAGGCCACAGAGGAAGACAATGGAGCCAATCCTGATGAGACCTGATAGACTAGGGTCATATGTAAGGGGAGGAGGGCCTCCCCTATCAGTGGACTTGGGGAGGGCTATAGGAGGAGAAGAGAGAGGGAGGGTGGGATTGGGAGGGGAGGGAATGAGGAAGGGGGCTATAGCTGCGATACAAAGTAAATAAAATGTAATAAATGAAAAAATAAATTTAAAAATAATAACAAAATATGCAGTTTCAAGTGCCCTCTAATGCAAAGTTCAGAAATAAAAAGGATATTTGGATTTTGTTATTTTTCTCCTATTAGCTTTGGCTGAAGAGAGGCAGGTGAGGGGCAGGGAGTCCCAAATAATGTTCACATAAGTGAGTAGAGGAAGCAGAATTTGAATACTTCAAAGAGAGGCATCTCTTACCCATGCACAGTCAGTCCCTTCACAATAAAACAAGTAGATAAACACAGGAGTATGATGGCTTCCCACTCACTGAGATTCTAAAAGCTGAATTGTGAGTCTATACATGTTAGTTCCTAAACTCCTGGTCCAGCTAACTCAGCCGCTCTGTCAGTATCTGTGGTCACTAAAGATAGCAATTAGGAGTAAGATGGCCTTCCTTTGTTGGCAGTTTGGTTGGGGAAACAAGCCTAAAGAAAATAAAATTGTCTCTATGTCCTGGTAGACTAGGTCAAGAGTCAGCTCCAAGAGAGTAAAGGCTTGACAGCAGACTCTATCTAATCATTGAGCTAAGGTACTAAAGCCCAAAAGTCCTGACTAATCAAGAATCTGTCTGTCTATTGATGGATATCAAGGCTGATTTCATATTTTGGTTACTGTGAACATAATTATTGTTGTCAATAGTGAAAGTCTCTACAGTGTACTGCCTTAGAGTGTTTTGTTTACATATCCAGGAGTGGTATAGATGGACCATATGGTAGGTCTGTTTTCAGGTTTTCAATACTTATTTCCACAGTTGTTGGGAAAATGTATATTCCTTTCATCAGTGTTTAAGGGTTCATTTTCTCTGTGCCCTCAATAGCCCTTACTATTTAGTTAACTATTGCTGCTCTGACTAGAGGAAGGTAGAATCTCAATGTAGTTCTAAAATTCTGATTTAGAAGTGAAACTACTTAAATATAGCAGATAGGAAACTGAAAAGGTACAGTGGAAGCAAAGAAAAAATTACAGTTACCGCATAAGGAAAGGCTACAAGCTCTCCTTGAATCCTGTGTAAAAAAGTCTTATTTGACTTCAAGAGTAGAACAGGATCATCTCTCAAGCAAAAGACCTTGAAGAGATGAATTGGAATGAAGGAAGAAGTGTGGGCAGCTGCCCAAGGGGAAACGAACGGTGTAACCTGAAACATTAGTTAGGCAGACAGAAAAGTCTCTGGAGAGAAGGAACGCTGAACAGACCGGGTGGGCCCTCCTTTCAAGCTGGAATCCCCAAAGCAAGAATTTCAGTGGCAGGTTCATTTTCTAACAAAAATCAGTTCCCCTTCACAGCCCAGGGGGAAGGCTAGGCTAGTTGTGACAGCAGTTCATTCTGGCTTCAGATCCTTTCCTTACAATCTATGTGACCTCCAAGAGTATCATTATAACAAGTTTCAGTTTTTAATCTGAGGAAAATGGGTCATAGTGCCCACCTTATGAGATGCAAGTGAGGATTGTGGGTATAAATGCAATTCACCTGTCCTGAGGAAGGTATCCACCAAATGTTGATTTTCAAGGACGATTTCTTTTAAAGAATTGCAAATGGTAAAGAACAAAAAGCTAACAGGGAACTGCTTTAGGACACTTTTTTTTCCTAAACATGCCCTAGTGGCACAAAGCTGTAATCCCAGCTACTGAGGGGGCTGACGAAAGAAGATCACAAGTTCAAGACAGCCTGGGCTAGAATGAGTTCAAGGCCAGGCTGAGCAAGTTAAGTCTAAAACGCAATTTTAAAAGCAAAACAAACACAAGGCTAAGTATATAGCAGAGCAGTAGAGCACATGTTCACCATGCATGAGGTCCTACAATTCAATCGCTAGTGGGAAAAAAAGATTATCAGTAAATTCCTCATTTAATCTTCCGTAAGAAATATTTTTTAATCTTGACAACAAATTCTGGAGAACATAAGAGAGAAAAAAAAAACCCTGTCCATTACTGTTGGGAATGTAAACTGGTATAACCACAAAGGAAATCGGTATGGAGCTATCTAACATACATGACTCTGCCACTTCCGGTACTCCTATATCCTAAGGACTGACTCTATGTCACTATACTAAGGGACACATGCATGTTTATTGTAGCATTGTTCACAACATGATAAAAGAATATGGAATGAGACTAGATGCTCATCAATACATGAATGGGCAAGGCTGCCCACTCTCTCCATACCTCTTCAACATAGTACTTGAAGTCCTAGCCGGAGCAATAAGACAACTAAAGGAGATCAAGGGGATACAAATCGGAAAGGAAGAGGTCAAAGTGTCACTATTTGCAGATGATATGATAGTATACATGAGCGACCCCAAAAATTCAACCAGAGAACTCCTCCAGCTGATAAACACCTTCAGCAAAGAGGCAGGATATAAAATCAACTCAAAAAAATCAGAAGCCCTCCTGTATAGCAAAGACAAAAGGGCCGAGAAAGAAATTAGGGAAACAACACCTTTCACAATAGCCACTAATAACATAAAGTACCTTGGGGTGACACTAACCAAGCAAGTGAAAGACCTGTTTGAGAAATACTTCAAGTCTCTGAAGAAAGAAATTGAAGAAGATCTCAGAAGATGGAAAGATCTCCCGTGCTCATGGATTGGTAGGATTAACATTGTGAAAATGGCCATCCTGCCAAAAGCAATCTACAGATTCAATGCAATTCCCATCAAAATACCAACTCAATTCTTTACAGACCTTGAAAAAAAGATTCTCAGCTTCATATGGAGAAACAAAACACCCAGAATCTCCAAAACAATCCTGTACAACAACAGATCATCTGGAGGTATCTCCATCCCCAATCTCAAGTTGTACTAGAGAGCAATAGTAATAAAAACTGCATGGTATTGGCATAAAAACAGAAAGGAGGATCAATGGAACCACATAGAACCCAGAAATAAACCCACACACCTATGAATACTCGATTTTTGACAAAGAAGCCAAATCCATTCAATGGAAAAAAGACAGCATCTTCAACAAATGGTGCTGGTCCAACTGGATGTCCACATGCAGAAAAATGAAAATGGATCCATATTTATCACCCTGCACAAAACTAAAGTCCAAGTAGATCAAAGACCTCAACATAAAACCAGATACTCTAAATCTGTTAGAAGAAAAAGTGGGGAACAGAACACCAACAGCACAGGCTCTAAGAGCAACAATCACTAAATGGGACCCCATGAAACTGAAAAGCTTCTGTAAAGCAAAGGACACCGTCATCAAAACAAAACGACTGCCTACAGATTGGGAAAGGATCTTCACTAACTCTTTATCTGACAGAAGACTAATATCCAGTATATACAAAGAACTAAAGAAGCTGAAAAGCGGCAAACCAAGTAATCCAATTAAAAAATGGGGAACAGAGCTAAATAGAGAATTCTCGACAGAGGAATATCGAATGGCAGAGAAACACTTAAAGAAATGCTCATCCTCATTAGCCATCAGGGAAATGCAAATCAAAACAACCCTGAGATTTCACCTTACACCCATCAGAATGGCCAAGATCAAAAACTCAAGTGACAATACATGCTGGAGAGGTTGTGGAGAAAGGGGAACCCTCCTCCACTGCTGGTGGGAATGTAAACTGGTACAACCACTCTGGAAATCAATCTGGCGCTTTCTAAGACAATTAGGAATACTGCTTCCTCAAGACCCAGCTATACCACTGCTAAGAATATACCCAAACTTTGCTCAAGTACACAAAAGGGATACTTGCTCAACCATGTTTATAGCAGCTTTTATTTGTAATAGCCAGAACCTAGAAACAACCCAGATGTCCATCAATGGAGGAATGGGTACAGAAATTGTGGTATTTTTACACAATGGAATACTACTCAGCAATCAAAAACGAGGAAATCATGAAATTTGCAGGCAAATGGTGGGATCTAGAAAAGATCATTCTGAGTGAAATATCCCAGAAGGAGAAAGATAAACATGATATATACTCACTTATATAGACCTATAAGATATGATAAACATAATGAAATCTATACACCTAAAAAAGATAATCAAGAGAGTGAACATGGGGTAAGATGATCAATCCTCATTTAGAAAGACAGATGGGATGTGCATTGAACGTATGACAGGAGTCTACTGAGCACATCTGAAAGACTCTAACTAGCAGTGTTTTCAAAGCAGATACAAAGACTCATGACCAAACCTTCGGCAGAGTACAGGGAATCATATGAAAGAAGCGGAGTTAGTATGATGGGGAAAGGATAGGAGCTCCACAAGGACCAAATATATCTGGGCACAGGGTCTTTTCTGAGACTGACATTCAACCAAGGACCATGTATGGATATAACCTAGAACCTCTGCTCAGATGTAGCCTGTGGTAGCTCAGTAACCATTTAGTTTCCCATAGTGAGGGGAACAAGGACTATTTCTAACAGGAGCTCAATGACTGGCTCTTTGACCTCCCCACCCCCCAAGGGAGGAGCAGTCCTGTTAGGCCACAGAGGAGGGCTTCTCAGCCAGTCCTGAAGATACCTGATAAAACAGGATTGGATAAATGGGGAGGAGGTCCCCCCTATCAGTGGACTTGGAAAGGGGCAGGGTGGAGATGAGGGAGGGAGGGTGGGATTGGGAGGGAATGAGGGAGCGGGACACGGCTGGGATACAAAGTTAATAAAATGTAACTGATAAGAAAAAAATAAAATTTAAAAAAAAATGTGAAAACTTGTGAAAGAAAAAGTAGTTCAATAAAGTGCAGACAAACAAAAAAAATAGATGAATGGGTAAAGAAAATGTACACAAGCACAATGGAATTTGTATTATGCTAGAAAGAAAAACTAATGTAATTATGACATTTACAGAAAAATTGAAGAAACTGGAAATCATTCTGTTAAGTGAAATAAGCTAAAATTGGAAAGATGGTTTTATTCATATGTGGAACCTAGATTTAAATGTGGGGAGAGTAGAAAGAAAAGAAGGGAAGATTAGAGATGAGAGAAGAAATCTCAGGGCAGAGAAGTATTAGAATATATGTGACACAAAAGGACAATAGGAGATGGAAAGAGATAAGCAAGAGGGATGTTGGGTGCAAAGAAAATATCTTGGATGAAGGGATAAACAAGAACAAAATATGTATGAAGATCTGTAACAAAACCATTGCTTTGTATGGTAATTCAAACATTTACTTTTAAAAAAGAAGTACTTTTTAATCTGAGAAATAGGAAAGATTTTAAAGTATTATAAAAACCTAACATTCCCTAGAGACAAGTGATAATGGTAATGGTTTAACTTGATATTATTCAAAAGAGTAGGCAGACATTTCTTAAATCATATGAGAATTTAAGTACAGTATAAAAGATTCCTGCAATTTTGGAATCTATCGAATTTTAAAGCTTAAAAGTTTAAGTTAACCACATATATTCTCCCATTAAAACCCCTCAAATGCTTTTAGATAACATTTTTAATACTATACCACTATGTTTGTTATTTTCTGAATCCATATAAAACAGAACTCTGTATTCTCCTCCTAAGGATCCGGAATGCAGATAATGTGTCCCATACTGGTCAATTAACCGTCGGTAGGCACTGTAGTCATACACAGCGGGAAGATGGGAGAGTTCCTTCCAGAATGGCTCAGCAAGTTGTAAAAACTCAGGATTATTATTAATGAACTGGGCCACTTCAACGCTGTTCTGAACAACAAACAATTGATAACTCTGCAGGGAAAAGAAAGAGTAAAAGGAGTTTCAGGTGGAAGGTAAAAGACAGGAAAACAGTTTCCTAGCCATCATCCTGATCAGCTGCCAATTCCAACTCTCCAGTTTCATTTTTCTTAATAAATAATTACAGGTGATGGCTTCTGGCAGTGGAGTAGGGAGGAACTCAAACTCAGGTCTCTTTAAGGGGCTGGTCACTGGGAGTTTGACTATTCTCTGACCGGTATAACACAAATTAGACTTGGTGAAGCTTTTTTTGGAGGGGAAGAGTGAGACTTGAGGATGGGAGGGTGGATCTGGGAGAAATGAGAATCGAGTGTGATCAGTATGAAATTCCTAAACAATAAAAATATTATGTTGGGGAAAATTTCTTAGCCATCATATTCAATTGCTTTAAGAGCAACCATTACCAGCAGGACTGGGTCGACCTTCAAAAAGAAAATATACAATATTAAATAAAAGATATAATGAGTTCTCTCCTGGGCACACCTTCATGAAGTAACCTGAAGGATTCGGGAGCCAAGTTAAGGATAATATGTGAGCAATGCTCATCTAAACTAGTCTTGAAATAAGTGTTCAAAGTAATACATGTTAGAGTCACATTTTGACCATAGCTTACAGGCAAGGAGACTATATTACTTATCTCTCATACTGGGATGTTTGCAGGTTAAGCTATTTATTTGATGGGGTTTTTGCAACATTTCCTAATCACCTTTTAATAATATTCAAAGCAGACTTGCACTAAATCCCTACAATGTAAACAGCGTACTACAGAGATAGTAAAAATATGAACTCATATTCCCATAGCCAACTTCTTAGTGATAAAACAGATAAAATCAGTTTTGCTTATACCACCTTTCCATGATTAGGCAAACTAACTTCAAAAGTCAGTCAGGCATGATAGTGCCTGTAAACCCAGAACTCTAGAGGCAAAGAATCTAGAGTTTAAGGCCAAAATGGACTACATGAAGCCCTGCCTCAAAAAAGAAAGGAAAGGAAGGAAGGAAAGAAGGAAGGAAGGAAGGAAGGAAGGAAGGAAGGAAGGAAGGAAGGAA